TGTTTGTTTGTTTTGTTGGGTTTTTTATTTGTTTTTTGTTTTTGGAGGTTATGGGCGCATTTCTTTACTCTTTCCCCAAATCTGTTATAGTGCAGAAAATTACTATCGTTCAAATAAAGGAAAGTGCTCATGTTTTTATACACATATATATGTTATGTACTTCCTGTATCTGTAATTGTTTCTTGACACATCGTCTTAAAGGGTTAATATTGATATACTTTTTGTTATATGAACAATGTTTTCAGCTTGTTTTAACAGTTAAACGGTTCATTTAATCTTCTGCATATCTAAAATGCGTACTTTGTGCAATTAATCCGTTTTTATTTTTCAAAATCCTTTCAACTTTGTATATGTCATCTCGTATATAACTAGCTTTTATTTGCAAAGCAAGCCCGCTATATTTTTTCCCTTCTGATCTTTCTGGGGTAAAGATTTTCAGGGTAAAGTTAAGTGTTAGTCTTTCCTTTATTAATTTATTAACTGTTTGGCCGATTTTTAATTTAATCATTTTAAACGTATCAATTGTCAAGTAAGCAAATATGTTGACCATTTGTTGGTCTGTTTCTTTCTCGCTTGCTTCAACAGGAGATAAACCTGTTGATCTATGATGGTTGTTACTGTATTCCTCTGTTAGCTTTCTCGCATATCCATGATTAGTCAAGCGGAGTCTCGAACCCACTCACACATGTGAGATATACTTCAAGTGTTTTAGACCACACAGACATGTGAGACATTTTTATGAGACCTTATCATTGTTATATAAACTTTGCTGAATACAAGTTTTTTTTTTCATTTGTCAAATTCAACTTAGGATTTATTCCTTCTTCATGACTTTTCGAAAAATCGAGTAAAATTTTTTGCAACGTTTAAAATCAACAAATTAAATCTTTAATTCTCTTAAATATTATTAATAGCACAACTAGATTGGAGTTTATGTTTACATACACATAAAGGATAGTACTTTCGCACCTTCCCTATGACCAGAACTTTCGGATACTCACTACTGTTTTATACGGATAAATACAGTACTTATACGGATAAATACGCTACTTATACTGATAAATACAGTACTTATAAGGGCTTTTTACCGTTTATCCAACGTAAATCAGAAGCTGCGAGAAATACCCGTAAGTGGCTAGAAACAATCTGTATGTGTTTTCCTGGGTTATGGATATATCTTATCTAGAATAATTGCAGAGTTGTAAACATTGGTAAGGTGAGACCAAAACCACCCAACAGAATAATATTTGTGGGGTATGAAGGGATGTGTGTATTTGAAAACCCTGTACTTTATCGGAGTTTATTGACCGAAATGTCCTTCCCAAGGTATTTTCAGCACTTTTCCATGAATTAAAACAAAGCTTCATCGTTTATTTCGCCCAACATTTTGTTCAACAAAGACAGCTTCCACTTTTAAGACAGCGAGCGTGTAAGAGAGAGAGAGAGAGAGAGAGAGAGAGAGAGAGAGAGAGAGAGAGAGAGAGAGAGAGAGAGAGAGAGAGAGAGAGAGAGAGAGAGGGGGGGTAGGTGTCAACTAAAATGCTTAATATTAAAAGGATAAACGAAGGTCAACTTGTTAAAAGTTTACATTTTTTTTTAAAAGCATAATATGGAATTTCAGGGCTTCTGTCCTCGTTGTATATGTTAAGATACATTTGCTTATTAATGAATGTACCCATTTTTTTGTGATTTGTCATAAGAAAAGTTTTAGTGTGCAAAGCCAAAAACAATCGATTTTTTTTCTTTTGGTTTATACCGGTACAAATCAACAAAAATTGTTAAAAACAGACTAACCGGTCAGTTTAATAGTAATCGTAACTAAAATAGAAAAATTCAATTATATAATAGTACCAATCAGAATACCCTCGATCAAATTTGAAAAGGCATTTAGAAATAATTTAGTAACTGTTGATAACATACTGTCTTGCGTAAATCACAAACTATATAACATTTCTTATCAAATAGTCTGTACACTTTACATATAGCGTGTGTAGTTTATTATGTTTCATATTACTACACGTTAACATATCACTTTATGTGATTCTTACTGGTCCAAATACGCCTATTAAGTTCTTGCTCCGTATTCTCTTTACTAATTGGCTGCAATCGTGAGGAAATTTTCACCAACTATATTCTTTCACCAACAATATTCTTCAACTAGTTTCATATTTTTAAAATGAAAGCATTACCCATTTGAGACCCTCTATTTTCGCGACTTATAAATTGCAAGAACTTATTCTTGATCAAAACATACCTGAATTTATGAAATAGTGTTTTTCTGTTTGTTTTGTTTTAACGGCACTTTTAAGATATTGTTGATTACATCATGCCGTTGAAAAGGGATCTTAGTGCCTTGCCCAAGGCAACTTCATTCCAAACTTTTGCTTAACGGCATAACAACACAAGAAGGTCACTTGGTACCAAGGCAATTACAGCAAAAAGTGCCTTGCACAAGGTCACCTCACGGTAGACTACTTAGGCTGGTCCAATGGCAACAGTAGAACATGTCCCGTTAGTCCGTGAGGCCAGCACGCAATACTGAACTACCTCTTCTCTGCTAGAAAGAAATGCTACTGAATCAGTCTAAACCAGGGTGGACTTGTATGGAGCGCACACGTTAAGAATAGAAACTAATACCGCAAATGAGAACTTATGGTGAGTGTGTGTGTGTGTGTGTGTGTGTGTGTGTGTATGTGTGTGTGTGTGTGATCCGTGATGAATAAATTAGTACGCAAACCTGCGATAACGTTTATATTTGAAATTGTACGTAAATTATTATTATTATTATTATTATTATTATTATTATTATTATTATTATTAGTAGTAGTAGTAGTAGTAGTAGTAGTAGTAGTAGTAGTAGTTGTAGTAGTAGTAGTATCTTTTTCAGTAATCCCCTACAACATTCTCAAGACACATATCCTTTACTTTCTCCAAGTACAACTATACCGGTATCTATGATCTTTACAACTTATTGTAGTATCCGATTTAAAGATAACGTTGATTTACGCGATGCATGGTTTCCTTCCATTGTATAATGAGATCAAAACAATTTTTTTTCTCAGGGTAATTAACACTTTATAAAACCGATCACCCTATTTTTAAATTTTATTTTGTTTTACTGGTCATAGACTAGACGAACTTATTGGATGTTTTATGTAATGTCTTAGGTCCATAAATCAGTATAAAATTTGTTTTCGTTACTCGTAGTAATCTACGTGAAGGAGTCGCAGAAAACCTTATACATACGTTCATACCGTGGTCGAGGTGGTCTTAGATGAAAATGGTGCTACTCAGACATCCAATATGGCGGCTACATTGGCCATCTTGGCAATCTTGTTATCTCTACATGCTCTAAATGGAATGGCAGACCGACGTGTGGTTTTCGACAGATTATGTCTAGCTGGTCGTAACTGAGAAGGATGTCAATCTGACCACCAATATGGCAGCCACCGTAAAAATCTTATTATCGCTATTCAGCCTGTATAGTGAGTCATATTTGACATAGGATTTTCATTGAAACTTCTCAGCTGGTCCTAAATGAGAATTGTGATGAGCTGACGTCTCATACAGCCTCAACAGTGCAAATAGCGTTTTCTCAATTCCTTCTCAAAAGAATGTTCAGTAAGCAACTTTTTATGATGTCTAGTCAGTCCAGAATATTAATAAACACAGCTAAATTTTAGTGATCCGATTTTAATACGTGCGCGCATTGATGATGATGATGATGACGATGATGATGATGATGATGATGATTATTATTATTATTATTATTATTATTATTATTATTATTATTATTATTATTATTATTGTTGTTATTATTATTATAGTAATAATTTTTCACGTCTATTTTTGTTGATGAGTGATCGTAAAAAAGAAAGCTAATAATTATATAACCACTTAAGAAATATATTGCCATAAAATAGGAAAACCTTGTATACAATTTAATTTCGCTCTGAGACTGTATCCTTTCTTAAAGTTGGCTTATTGGTAAAGTTTGCAACGTTGTGCTTGATGTTTTAACAACGAATGAACTGTACAAACGTCTATATAAACAATAGCGAACCATTAAACATACTAAACAGTGTAATTATTATATCTCAATAGACGTTGAATTTCATGTAACGTTAAAGTTTTAATCTCAAAAACAAAATAATAAAACAAAACTCGAAATATGTCATTTTTTCATGTAAATACTAATTACTTACCATCCTGTGTTCGATAGATCTTAGTTGCTAGGCCGACAAATTTGTGACATCCACCTTAGTTATCACACGGTAGTACAGATATCATGTCATACTGTTGGTCCCTATATTGTTAGAGCACACAAGTTGACGACTTAACTACAATATTTGTTTATTTGGGTAACGTACCTACGCCGCTGTGCTAAAAGCGGACGACAAGCTACCCATGCTGAACGCCCAGGTACGACAGGTAAACCTAAGTTAGAAAGTCCCTCCCCTCCCTGTAGTGTGGCAGTATAAATTTCATTGCTTTCGTTACCTGTCAATGACATTTTCTGAAGGGATTGAAAAGTTTGATTTTCGATCAGTGGCAATTTACTTTAAGCGTATTTGAATAGAACCAAATCACTCAGGATTCGTTAGACCTACAACTCAATTAACAGAGGTACTGAGACACATACTATACGATCATAGCAGTGAGGTTCGTGCTTATTATAACGGGACTGAAATTGAAATTATTTGTACATATGGGATATTTGGGAACCATTTTTGTTTTGTTTTATTTTGACGACGGTTGGCTTGCTTGCAGAAGGTCAAAATCTTCAGCTGGATAGGCAATCAAATCTTCGTTTAGCTTTGATTCATTTCATTTTAAACCAAATTTATGGACAGAAAATCTAATTACACGATTATCACCAAAATAGCAAACGGTTTTACAGACACATACATAACACGTGACACACGTCAAACCAAAGAACATATCTAAATCTTGCTAGTTTTATAATCAATCTCACTAGATATAACATTCATGCTCGGACCGCTCCGGTGGCCTAAATGCTAAGAGCGTCGGTCTCTCAGTGGTAGAATTTGACTTCTGTAAAGTCGTGGGTTCGAACCCCACCCGCATCATACCAAAAGTCATAAAAATTATACTAGCTGTGCTTCATCGTGGCGCTCAGTATTAATAAGATTTGGGCCTGGTGTCAAGATAATATGAGCTTATTCGACAAAAGTTTCTCATTTTGTAGTAAAAGCAAAGAAAAACAGAACAATTAATATTGTAATCGTTCACATTTGTATTGTTTTGTGGGCTTAACTGCTATTTCAGCACATGACAGGCTATACGTAGTGGCCGGTATATTTGGTGGAGGAGACCCAAGAAGAACTACCGACCCATGGGGAGATAATAGGACACGTTTGCCGAATCGAAACTAGAACCCACGCGGACAGATGTGAAATGTCGGTAATCTGTAAAAGTGAGCGCCTTAGACCACTCGGCCACCCACCCCACCAATCCATATGCATTACAGAGGTTATGATTAATAGCGATATTGGAATCTTGTTATAATCAAGGACAAAGTCTTCTACCCTCGTGACTAATTTTCTCACAATACACGCCAAGCAGTTACCATATGGCGCAAGTGTCAGAAGAAAGTCATATGGGTGGGGCAGAAGACTTCAACTAAGGTCAGTAACCAAGGATACCGCTTTTATCAAACTAACAGTGTCAATAACTCTAATACGAATCCATACGACTGATGAGTATCGTTCCAAATAAAGAAATCTTACGAGCGAAGTCCTTGTGAGGCGTAGCAGTGTACTGTCAAACATGCAAACAGTTACTATAATTTTCACTGCCTGTAAATCAGGGTTGTTATTTCTCCGGTTTCCTAATCTTGGTTTTCCTTTTCAGCCAAAACAATGTCGAACTTAGTCATGGTAACCATTATATCATCAACAACCATCGAGTAAAGATTGGTAATTGTACTGAAACTGATTTGTGCCGCGACGGGACGCTCTATACATAAACATATATGCGAATGCAGCCATAACGAAATTATTTCATCTACGTGCAGCCACAGTTACTAAAAATACAGCTGCAACACTTCCGATGGTGGTCCTATAATACTTACTGTGGTCCAGCTATAATTATCTACAATTACACATACGCGTTTTAACGTCACAAGTATTGTGGTTTTCTTGCTGTTTGATCACGCAAATGTCGTTCCGTTTCGATTATTTTCTCACGTTGGTAAGTTTTAGGTCTACAAAAGATCTATTAACAGTGTAATCTCGAAGTACAATTTCTCGATAAGCTGACCTTCTTAAGGTGCAACACGCACACGCACTTCAAGCTAATTATTGTTTTTTTGATACAACTGTTATACAACTATAGCAAATATTTTTCGAGGAGATATTTAAATTTCTGATTATTGTGCGTTCTTATGTTAATAGAAAGTCATACTGATTACACTATTGAATAGAAACGATCGGTATCGTCTTTGCCCAAAAACTAATACACGGACAGGTTCGTCCTTGCTAGATAAGTCATTTTCTTGGTTTAGTTAATGCTGGCGAAACAGGAATGCAACCAGGATCAATTTGTTGGCAAATTTCTCTTCATCGTTCTTGAAACAATCTCAGCGCGTTTTCATACATAAATGTGCATTTTTTTTTACTTCGCGATGCCGTCTGCTAATGCCATGATTCCATTCTGCTTTCGAGATAGATTTGGTACATTAAAGTAGTTCCAACTGTTGATTTATAAAGAAGAATACAACAGAAGTGGACCAATTGCAATAACGCACTCGACATATCTTATGATTGATGCAAGCTAACTATAAAGAAGATATTTTAACTGCGGAAACATTGCAATCAACTGAGAACTATATCGAAGACTCCAACAGAAGTGGAAAAATTGCAATCCACCCTAATACTACATACAACTTATGAAAATAGCTGACTATAAAGAAGAAACTGGATATAAATAAACCAATTGCAATCAACAGAGATATATAACGAAGATCTCAACAGAAGTGGATAAATTGCAATTGAGTCGCGCCTATAGGGAGGCATGGGTTTGTTGGTGGCTCTCTTGGGGCCATTGGCCTGCTGCTGGGTTGGGTGGCGTTCTGTCTTGTCTTAGTGTTGTACGTCAGGGTCTTAAGGTCAAATTCGAAGCGAAAAGATCCAACTCGGGATCGAGTCCCCTTACGCGGGTCCGGGCTGATGGCAAACCGTGTAGGAGAATATTGGAGGCCCACCCTACGGGTGGGTCCTCTGGTCTCTTGCGAAAGTGAGAGGCTCCAAAAATCGTCAAGCAAACGTCCATGCATATACGACTATAATTGCTATTGTCATTGTCAGAACAAAAAATCACAATATCGGTCAATTCCGCAACCCCATGACCACGGTCAGAATCTATAATTATAATGTGTAAATGAACTGTCGTTGGGATCTGATCCGACTAAAGAATTCTTAGATTACAATAATCTAATTAAGAGTAATAGGCTCTTCTTCCAATTATCGTCTTTGTGCTACTAAATAAATTTCAGGATACACACATGTGATACTAGATTGTACACTTTTATGAAATAATATCTGAATTTAAAAAAGCAGCAAGTCTAAATAGAGCACTGGGGTAAATACCATTACTGTCTATATATGACAGATCATATATGTAGAGTGCTGGTTTAGATGGCTCATCCACCAATACAGTTCTTGGCAGCTTGGTGTTACCAACCACGAACTTGGCATCACTGACTTCTTTTATACTTACGTATCGCTTTCTAACAGCATCAGTATCATGGAATTAGTTTTCAATTTGATTTCAGTTCATTAAAAGATCTCCACTCATTTCGTCGCTAGCATTTTTAACTTTCGATACTATAATTGTGTCTACGTAGTCTTTGGTAAACATAAACTGATACACCAGAAAATCTGATTCCCCCGAGATCACTGATTTTTGTAAAGTTTAATTACGACGGCTCCTTGCATGTTCAAAACATTTTTAATGTCTCGGTTAGATGCTGAAAACTTTCCCGTTTAATCTTGGAAAATCTCAAGTTAGCCGAGAACGACGTCAGCAAATCAGTTAAGTCCCCTTCGATGGCAAACATGGTTAGATCCATATATGCGAATCGTCGGGTGATTCAGCTTCCCTAAATACCAATGGACACTACCCATACTATTGAAAGGTAAAATCAACAAGGGCTTGTGGCAAACGCTCAAGTGCATACAGTAGTTTAATAAGGTCCACACACTAGGCTGCCTAATCGTGTTTATAATGGTACTATTATATAAAATTCAACCAGAGCAAATAATTAACTACTGAATAAGCTGGTACAAGCCAAAATACAAAGGATGTCTTGTCGTTAACACGTATGCGACCTAATGTGTTAGGTCCTGTCACTAAATCAAGGTCGATGATGACGGTTTCCTTATTACTATCCATGACTCACAGTACGATCTTCAGTTCCCATACCATACCTAGGATATTAAAAATTCAATACCTACATTTATCAGTATAGATGAAACCTGGATGTCAGCTTCTGTGTAGAGAAAAGGATATGAGCCTCAGCATTTTCCGGACCGACGTGTATTTGAAATATGTCTTTTGAATTCCGCAATCGACTCGGGTGTTCATTTAAGTAATGAATGTTCCAAACTCAAGACTGTTAAAGGACTGGAATTCCAACAATAAAACAACGTCTCTATTTCTTTAGTTACAAATAGGATTAGCTCTCTAAAGATTCTCTTTCCTTAAAAAAATAACTTACATTATTAACTATTCCTGGCCAGCCAAACCCATATATATTCTATTTTCACCAATTTCATGACTGGTTCAAATTTTTCCAAAGATTTAATACCGCGTGTCCTGCATAAAGACAGCTTGGAAATGTTTGAATTTTTCATCGCGGTTATATTAAAATTGGCAAATGGCGATGCCACAAACGAAAACTACTTCCTCTTGGAGTGGGGCTTTTGGCTCTGACTGCTGAATAATCGAAGACCTTTTACCTTTTATGCGGCCTCCAACCATTTTTTTTTTATTCAGAGCGTTTCTGGATACAGTTCCACAGCCAATTTTACAACAGCCAGATCCATAACCGCTAACGACTGTATGTGTGTGTGTGTGTGTTGGGGTTAACAACACGGGGACAATTCCAGGTAACTTTTTCGGAGAGAGTCTTAATGTGACCCCGCAATCACTTCATACTGTACTATTTATGTTCGCAAACTGCTTTGGCATAAGGCCAACCTTAACTTTTTTTGTGAGAACAATATCAACTGGAAACACAATTCCAACTGCACTGTTAGTTTTCTATAGACGCGTAGATGACCTTAATTGGACAGTTGTGCCCTCCAACAACAAAAACTGCAGAGAATGGCATCTAAAACTGGGGATAGCGGTGGACTCAGCTAGATCAGTAACACGTACATGAAAGTATTTGTCTAAAACTGTCTAAACAAATTGATATGTTCTAAAGTAGTAAATCTGACACAACCTACAATAGTTGTACTGAGAAATTTTCAAATTCGTGTCTTGATTCCAGTGGATATATGACCATAGCCTCTGATATATGTGTACGACTAGATTTTTGTACATCTCAGTAACGAATTCTGCCCTTCTGAATATACAAAAGGTTTCATAAACTCTCTATCATTTTTAGTGAGTATGGATGCCATTTTTTTTATTCATACCAAAATTATTCCTTTAATTACGACGATTCTCACTACAATCACCATCTCTGCTGTGTTCCCTACACCGCTTTGTTGTTAGGATCAAACAATAGCGTCAGACTTTAATTTTTCTTCCACAATATCATAAATGACTTTTGTATTTTATTTTGGGGGTTTTGTGTGTGTTTTAGCTTGAAAGTGTCTACGTTGTTTTTTTTTTAATTAATTTTAAAGTTTGCGTATTTATCAAGATGCACAAAATATATATTTGAAAAATCATACATCTTGAGCCTTTTCGACAATTATGTATGACCATTTAATCTTGTATGTAATTCTACAAGCACTCCATTGGTCTGGCAATGTGATACCCACATTAGATACAAGCATTAATTTTTTCAATCTGTGAACTTTTCGTGGGTAAATGTGAGACATGAATGTCTTGCTCAACAGACATGTGTAGTCAATTACAGCAGTTTGAATCTGCGGCCCAAGAGGAGCCCCCATTGTGCCGCACGATGAGCTAGAAAGCTCAGAGGTTGTTTCAAACCAAATTAAGTCTCAATGAATTATCCGATGCATCATAATTATAACAAATAACAACCTTAAATTATCAACATATTTACTTTCATAACATCGTATTCACTTCATGATATCATCATATTCACTTTTAAAACATCATCATATTCACTTTTATGACATCATATTCACTGTATATTCACTTTTATGACATCATATTCACTTTTATGACATCATATTCACTTTATGACATCATATTCACTTTATGACATCATATTCACTTTTATGACATCATATTCACTTTTATGACATATTCACTTTTATGACATCATATTCACTGTATATTCACTTTTATGACATCATATTCACTGTATATTCACTTTTATGACATCATATTCACTGTATATTCACTTTTATGACATCATATTCACTTTTATGACATCATATTCACTGTATATTCACTTTTATGACATAATATTCACTGTATATTCACTTTTATGACATCATATTCACTTTTATGACATCATATTCACTTTATGACATCATCACATTCAGTTTCATTTTCATGTACAACTATTCTAAGCTCATTGTTTCTTCAATTATTAAAGAAAAATATTTTCCACAAGTTTGATTCGAACATGCAATGTCCAAACTATCATAAGGTAACTGATTAGCCCATAATGAACTCTTAACGAGTGGACTGCTCCGGTGGCCTAGTGGTTAGTGTCCGCTTCGGATGCGTGAGGTCGCGGGATCAAGCGCCGGCTGAGTCATACAAAAGACTTTAAAAATGGTACTAACAGCTGCCTTGCTTGGCGCTCTGCATTAAGAGGTTAGTGTTAGGACTGGTTGGCCTAGTGTCAGGATAATGTGACTGGGTGGGACATCATGCCATATATCTGCGACATGATATCCCAGTGCTAGACATTACTATAACCTGTCACACTGCAGACATCGTAGCAATATGACTGAAAAATTGTTAAAACTATGTTAAAACTCGAAATCACACACATACACTTAACGAGTAAGTGAAAAGAACCCATACTTTAACAGCACTAGTGAAAAACAAGCACAAGGCGTTCTCTATTAATGAGTGTGAAAACTACACTATTTTATAGTCATATTCCAGGATTTATTATATACATATCCATACATGGTCCCATTTTAATAGTAAACATAAGTAGTCCAGGAATAACAATTCTCAGTTTCAAATATTGCCATTTCACCAACAATAATTTGTGTAGCTTTACATACTGATTATTATCAATTTGGCCTACCCTTGTATCAAGACAAGAAATGTTTAATTCCACGTTAAAACTAACAGGCATGCTAGGTTACTCTGTTTCCTGATTAAGTCAAGAAAACATATTTTTTTTCCTGAAAATTGAAAGGCATGCAGATATTGACTATTTTCAAGATTTAATACATCTTTATACAAGAGCCAGCAATGTCTTACTTAAACATAACACAGCTACACTGGGTCTGCATCTATATTGATCTATCTGCCAGTGCCAAGCAACAACTGTACTTAGAAATTCACTTATAGTGCCACAATCATGTGTATAAGTTGTGTAGGTAATACAATTCTATGAATAGTGGTTAGTACAATTATCATGCATGCATTCATGCAAATCAAGTTTGTGTACATGACTGTGGATATGTACTTTTCAGCATTTGCTTCATACTTATATGGTACTTGTATCTTATTTGTCATAGCAACAGTTTATGTAAACAATCCCAGACTTGAATAGTAGTATCTTAACAGCAGTTTTCTTTGGTTACTCATCTAGGTTGAAGTTTTCTGCACCACATGACATTCCTGGGCATGGATGCCTCCTGGTAACTTTGCTTGGCGAGTTCACATGCATGTTATGTGAGGACAAAGTCCAGAGTAAGTGGGGTTTGGTAAAAGACTGGTCCAGTTCATTAACAAAAATTCAAATTGCAGTTATCATCATTCATAACACTCAAAGATGGTCAGTCTTTCAGCAAGACCCCTCCCACCTTTGTAAATCTTACTTCTGGAACCCCACTCAATACAATTTCAAATGTTTGATGGGAATTTGCTCCAATGGGTTGGTACACCACATCTTATATCAACTGTTTTTAGGCAATGCATTTTTCCATAGAACAAGACAGGCCATTTCCACATTCATAACTTTAAGGTTAGTTTCATGGATGCTAGCTACTACATGCATTAGCTGCTGTGTGGACTATCTTGGTAACTTATGAAACATGCACTGATCAATAAGTTATGAATATATCAAACTATTTACTCCTTGACAACTTCTCAGTCAATTCTAGGGCTAATCCAAACACAGAAAGAGGAGGTGGTTCATTAAGATCGCTTTTTCCTTTTTGCAAATTAATTTCTGGTTAGCATGGTATATGATATGTCTGAAATCTAATACAACAAAGGCAATGAATTTGGTATCTAGGATCAGGATACATAAGCACTACACCCTTACAGCAAAATGAGGTCATTGTGCACTATACTTTATGCTGGTTTAAAGTCCATTTCTTAAGTGTTGTTATGCAAAAATCATAAAGCTTTATACTCTGATGTATCTATTAGTTTGGGAGTAGAAGGTTGTTTTTGTTGTTGTTTTTTTTTTCTTAGCTGGTTTTAACATCACTTTTAATACACTGTTGACTGTATCATGCCAATGAAAAATGGGAGCCAAGTGATTTCCGAATGTCTGGTTTTCATCAATTCATTATGGTGCATCTGATTTAATATAAAATTAAAGAACATTCTGTTTTGTTGTTTTTCTTTTATGACTTGTAGCAGCAGAGAGGGTGAACCCTACAACAATATATTTGCGACAAAATCGATTAAAGCCTCAGAATGCCAATGGAGCCTTCCTACGAAATCTCATATTTTAACCAAAAAAAAATTAAAGGTCCCATCTTAGCGATTTTGTCGTAAATACATTGTCATAACCACACTCAAATTGCTGCCATCTACGTCTACAAATTTTTGCGACAGAATCGATTAAAGCCTCAGAATGCCAATGGAACCTTCCTACGAAATCTCATATTTCAACCAAAAAAAAAATAAAGACCCCATCTTAGCGATTTTGTCGCAAATACATTGTCATAACCACACTCAAATTGCTGCCATCTACGGTCGCAAATATGTTGTCATTTCACCCTCTCTGCTGCTGATTAATACAAATTATTTGTTAGCTTTTCACAAACAGACTAATCGATAATACTTCACCACGTAGATCAATTAAATTATTTGACTGATCGGTGAGTGTAAAATTAATTCTGGTTAGTGAATCATTTTGACATTGCATATAGACTGGATTAGTCGGATTCTCAACAATTAAAAATCCGGGGGGTGTTGTTGGTGAAAATGAATAAAGAATGTAACCTTGTCGGGCTTGATTTGATTGTTCCATATTAATTTGATAACTTCCTTCGATTACATCACACGTTAAATTAAGTGCGATCACCGATGAAATATCCACATTGTTCGGTGCGATATGTCTACCGTCGCCGTCGGGAGAATTATTATGAGTGAGGATAATAGGCTTCGGCTGGCTATCTTTCCATGATTGATAGATTTTATTAAATCCTTCGTCGATGGCAGTTCTGAGTTGATTTTTTAGTTCAGGTGCGTTATATCCTGTAAGTACATAATTTGGATTACCTGCTAGGCCGCCCCTATAACGTCCAGCTTCAATTGTTCGATATATTGGAGAATTTTCATCAGTAAAAACACTGATAAGTCTTAATCTATATTTTTCCATGTCGCTGATGATTCTGTTGGCTGCCGCGACCACACTGGTAAACTCATCTTTTGTAAGAAGACCGGATCTCAACGAGTGTAGCAACAAATAAAAATCTTTGTTCATGTAGAGAAAAGAAAGGTCAAAGGTGGGAAAAAATTTACTATCTACGCTTACTTGCGCAACAGTATAACCTTTCTTTTCAAAATCAATAGGACGACGACGACTACCTCCAAAAGCATAGCTCGTCTCTGTTTCAGATATTTTTTTTCTGTAAACTTTTGTTAAATCTAATTCTTCGAAATTATCATATGTTCGTGATGGATTGTCAGGTCCTATTTCATCAGTGACATAATCAGATTTTACAGGCTCGGGCGTGGAATTACCAGCACTTCTAGGTGGATCTTCGGGCCATCCTAATACTGTTCTTATTGAACTGTTATAAATATCTACAACATACCCAGGAGAGCCTATTTCAATTGTAGATGATAGTGTTGGTTCATGAACTGTTATCGCAATTTTTGATTCTTTTTTAGTAATGGATTTTATTCTACGTTGTAATTCATTATTAATTTGCTCAATTTGATAGGACCCAGTTGGTATTGAAACAACGTTCCAATCTGGAGTGTCATCTTTTTTATTCCTATATGCAAACACCAGAGAATTATTAGGTCTCTGACCGCCAAATGGAACCGATCTGATATTAGGCCAACTATGATACACTCGTAATTTTGCCAACGCGATTTCCTTTACTGAAACAGGCGAGGGAAAATTCACACTGAATTTAGGGTTTGTTGACGATATTGATATCATACTTGTTTTCCGCGGAGTGGTATTTTCTGCTATCCGCTGAAGTAGTTGAATCTCTTGCGACATTATTATTATTATTTACAATGTCTAATTTTGCAATAGATGAAAAAACGCTAGCGTTTTTAATCGTAGTATCATAAATACGTATCATCGCGGAGAATTCGTCTTCGGTAATTATCGTATCATCAATCGATGATGACATCAACGAGGATAATTGTGAGTAACCGTTAGATACTGCTTGATGTTTTACTATATAGTCGTTAAGTTTTTCTTGAGAACACGATGATATTTTTTTAGTAATAGCATTTGCAAGTCCAGCAAATGTTGTCACCGCGGAAATAGCAATTGGGACAGCAATCGGAACTACCATTGTTACTGAAGATAGTATAATACCAGCACCGGCCATTATACCAGATACCGAGTATACTGTAACATCAATTGCGGTAATTCTCCTGCGATACTTTTTAATTTTTATTTCATATTCATCAATGAGTGTTTTGAGTTTTGTTAAGAAGTCTTTGACGGTATCATAGCGATATTGCGATGATGGAATCATATTATTTTAAAACCTCAAGTGGTTTTTAATTGTTAAAAATTCTAATTTAGATCAGCTACAAACTCCATGTACCATACAAATGATGTCTTATTTAAATTAGGATCAGTGCTTGTTATTGTAAACCGTTTGTATTCACCCACGTCAATAGTCGTTGAAATCACGTTGTTGTATCCATATGAAGTCGATGATGATATATTAAACTGATTCAGTGACACTATTGTTAATCGATAAATACCCCTTGTTTGACACAGTGAGGGTTACTGTATTTCTTTTAGGTGTCCCAATCTAATAGCCAGAGAGAACTGTGTAATATCATTTTTATATATTTCGCTCATGATGAATCTTTATTCTTCAAGTAGCGAGGATTGTCGGTTTTAAATTTTGTAATATCCTCGATAGATTTTTTAAATACTATTAATGCTATCTCTTAAATTACTATATCCAGCACATTAATAATTTTAATACTAGCTTTATTTTCATCAAATTGATTTATTTCAGCGAGAATGGAGAGTTACCGTCTGGTGGTCCCAAAAATTTATTGATAATATTTCTACGAGGGAAGTATTTGTTGTTATATGTTTTTTCCAAGTTCCATTCTTCATTTTAAATTTTTCTAATGCATCTGTGATTGTAGAAAACAAAATAACACCTGGTTTGAGTTTCCCATCAT